GGCTCAAGGTTGACTCAGCCTTCCATCCTTTCTAAGGTAGGTAAAATGAGGACCCAGTTTGTGGGGGCAATAAGCTGACTTTGTAAAAATATACAAAAGGATGAAGGCTATTGCTTAACGCATTGTAAGCCGCCCTGAGTCTCCGGAGAAGGGCGGCATATAAATCAAATTTAAAAAAAAAAAATTGGTCTAGCAAAGGTTTTGTATGCCCTAGTTTGCAGTACAATATTGCCGGAGAAGAAGATACGCAGGATTAGGTTAACAACTCCTAATGCCTTTTTGGCAATGTTGTTGCAGTGAGCTCTGGCACTTAGATCATTTGAGATGAGTACTCCAAGGTCCTTGACAGAATGTGGGTCGTCTATGAGGTCGTATCCGCCCAGCTTGTATTTGATGTTCTGATTTTTTTTTTTTTGCCAATGTGAAAGACAGAGCATTTGTTGGTTGATATTTTGCAGATATAGGAATAGAGATGGCCTGCAGGGACAGCGAAGAAAGGAGGCAAAGGCTGGCACAGATAGGGAAAGAGCAAGTTCCCTGAAGTGCCGGCATTAGGCTCCGACCCAGTGGCGAAGGAAGGCAGTCATGGAGCTGTCAAAAGCTGGAACGGCCACAAACAAGAAGAGGAAATGCAGGAGTGGAGATTGAACAGAGTATTGTTACTGGGTGAGTGATTGGCCAACTCTCAGGTAAGAAGAAAAAAAATTGTAAAGTTTGATAGAAGTCCCAATGCGTAATTAGCGGCTAATTGGCACTCGGCAACTCAAGTGGAAAAAAAAAAAGGAACTTTAAAACTAAAGCTCTAAAGGAACCTTCTACCTGGATTTAAAATTGGACTTGGAAGAAATTAAAAATAAGATAAGAAAACAGAGAAGTATTCTTTAAACAACAAAAGGACTTAATTCGGAGAAGAGAAGAGGAAGTAATTATTTTTGTGGATTTACAAATTGATATTTGTTGTCGGGGGATTTGTGAATTGGAGAGAGCCATCTACTGGTGAAAAGGAAGTATTACACTAAGTTTAGTCTACTTCGACATGCTCTGAACTGGATCCAGAAGCAGCCCGACAACCAGTGCAACTCCCAGAGCAGAGGCATAGTATGTGTTGTTTTAGAAATGCACATCACTGCCCGTGCCGCTTCATTTGGCACCAGCTGAAGCTTCCAGATACTCTTCAAGGGCAGCCCTATCTAGAGTGCATTGCAGTAGTCCAGCTAGGAAGTGAATAGAGCATGAGTGACTGTGAGCAGAGCCCCTCAATCTTGGAATGGGGGCAATTAACACACAAGACAAAAGGCGCAGTGGTTAGAGTGCAGTACTGCAGCTACTTCAGCCGACTGCTAGTTCAGCAGATCAGCGGATCAAATCTCGCCGGCTCAAGGTTGACTCAGCCTTCCATCCTTCCGAGGTGGGTAAAATGAGGACCCAGATTGTTGGGGGGCAATATGCTATTTAGTATACTGTCTTTGGTGTAAGCCGCCCCAGAGTCTTTGGAGAGTGGGCGGCATAGAAATATGAATAATGATATGATATGATATGATATGATATGATATAATATAATATAATATAATATAATATAATATAATATAATATAATATAATATAATATAATATAATATAATATAATATAATATAATATAATATAATATAATATAATATAATATAATATAATATAATATAATATAATATAATATAATATAATATAATATAATAAATAATGGTGTATTTTGGTCCTCTGAGTTCATGCCCAGAACCTGGACAGTAAAGGCCAGGCTTTTGGCTGCTACTACTGAACACTTGGTTACTTGACAACAAGGAATTCAGAAGTCCTAAATCTTAATTCTTGGCTGGAACAAAGAGAGATCCAACTTTGAATTAAGGAGAAATTTCCTGTCAATGAGAACAATTAATCAGTGGAAGGGCTTGCCTCCAGAAACTGTGGCTGCTCCAATACTGGAAGTTTTTAAGGAGAAACCAGACAGCCATTTGTCCAGAATGACATAGGGTTTCCTGCTTGAGCCGGGGGCTGGACTAGAAGACCTCCAAGGTCCCTCCCAACTCTGTTATTCTGTATTCTCTCCTGCTGCTTGCTCAGGAGTCTCACACACGCTTCAGTGAGGGGCAGAGATCCCAGGAGGAATGGCTGGGATGTGGGTGTGTGAAGTGAGTGCCAGAGCCAGCCTGCATTGCAACTGAGTCAGGCATGTAAAACATGACACAAAGCCTCCAGGTGGCTGACAGATGTAAAAACCCAAATGCAAAACCTAATAATCCCCCCTCCTGGTGACAACAATCAAATCAATATCGGGGGCGGGGAGGGGAGGTCTACTGGCAAACACGTCAGGGCTTTTGGAAAGAGTATCAAGGTGGGGGGGGCAATCTTATCTCCATGAGGATGATGTTCCACAAGGAAAGAACCACCCAGGGGAAGGATCTTCTTGGTATCATTAGATGGACCTCTTTAAGACAGGGGACTCGTAACCTAGCCTGCCTCCTTGCTCTGATGGGCCTGATGCAGTGGTGAAATCCAATTTTTTTACTACCAGTTATGTGGCCGTGGCTTGGTGGGCATAGTGTGGCTTGGTGTGGCAGGGGAAGGATACTGCTAAATCCCCATTTCCACCCCACTCTGGGGCCAGCCAGAGGTCGTATTTGCCAGTTCTCTGAACTATTCAAAATTTTTGCTATCGGTTCTCCGAACTACTCAAAATTTCCACTACCAGTTCTCTAGAACCTGTAGGATTTCACCCCTGGTCTGGTGGATGAAACTGAGAAAGTCCTTCAAAGAATGCTCTGCAGCCAGTGTGGCCTTTAACTCCCTCTGGAACCCTAAAAGATCCCATTGGAGCTCAGGGAACGGGAAGAAAAGCTTGCGTAAATCACTGGGGGTGGGGTCTCTGAGGAACAAACACCTCGGGGGTTATAAGGGGCAGTGGTTTCACATAGTGGTGGAAAGCCTTGATGAGTACAGGGGTTTAGTGCACCCTGTAATTAACACAGCTGCCTGCAATTTCTGCTGGTTCGAATCTCTCCAAGGCTCAAGGTTGACTCAGCCTTCCATCCTTTCTAAGGTAGGTGAAATGAGGACCCAGTTTGTGGGGGCAATAAGCTGACTTTGTATAAAACATACAAAAGAATGAAGACTATTGCTTAACGCATTGTAAGCCGCCCTGAGTCTCCGGAGAAGGGCGGCATATAAATCAAATTTAAAATATATATATATATATATATATTCATTGTGGGGCCAAATGGGTCTGGAACAGTGGTGGGTTGCCCCCGGTTCGCAAGAACCAGTAGTAAAACCGGTGGGAGGCTCCGCCCACTGACCCAGACGTCATCAAAAGCGATCTGCGCATGCGGGCATGATGCAATAGCAAAGGTAAGTAGAACCTACTCCTGGTCTGGAACTCTAACAATCCTGTCCAACCTGGTCATTCCAATTTCAGAGCTAATGTGTGGGTGTTCCTGGGCTTGGACAGAAGGTCTGGAGCTCCTGCCTGGTTTAAGGGAGGCTCTTTTTCTTTTTTGCATGAGGGTGGAAGGGTATGGGAAGTGGGGGGGGGGTTTCTCTGAGGGGTCTAGAAGATCCTTGGGAGAGCAGCAGAGGTGGGTTTCAGCAGCTTCTGACCAGTTCTGGAGAACCGGTAGCAGAAATTTTTAGTCGTTCGGAGAACCGGTAGTAAAAATTCTGACTGGCCCCACCCACATCTATTCTCTGCCTCCCGAGTCCCAGCTGATCGGGAGGAAATAGGGATTTTGCAGTATCCTTCCCCCGGGAGTGGGGAGGGAATGGAGATTTTACAGTATCCTTCCCCTGTCATGCCCACCAAGCCATGCCACGCCCACCAAGCCACACCCACAGAACCGGTAGTAAAATATTTTGAAACCCACCTCTGGAGAGCAGAGCGTGGTTAGCAAACTTTGGGGATGGTGGGACACGGGGGAATCGGTGGGGCAGGTGGCTCAGCAGGTCCCCTCAGTTCAGCCACTTCTTCCTTGAACTTCTCCTTTTGCTACTTCAGACTCTTATCACTATGCTGAAAGTTGGAGATGGTTTGGGTTGTCTTTTCTGTCCTTCTTGTGGGGCCTCTTTAAAATGACACTCCCTTCTCACCAACAGTAAGTTTCCCACACCTGTTTGTTAAACTCATTCTTTAAATTTTTATTTTATTTAAAAAAAATACAATGGAAACTGTAAAAAAAAAATACTTACACAGAGATATCAAAACTAGACAAAACACTTTTAAAAACATGATGCATCAAAGAAAGTACAAAAAACAAAAATATACTTAGATTGCTTTTCAGAGTTCAATGTCTTGATTTAGTTTAGTTTAGTTAATTGCACTTTTATACCGCCCTTCTCCCGAAGGACTCAGGGCAGTGTACAGCCATAGTAAATACAGTAACACACAAAAATTAAAAACCATTAAATTCAGTAATAGGCCATAATTAAAAAACCCCAAAACTAAAATCATTTAAAAACCCATTAAAAGTATTGTTCCATCAGGCCAGCTTGACGAAATGATAGAGGTATAATTTCAGCAACTATAGTTTCCTATGCAAAACAGGCCCACATCTGTTTGTTAGACTCATTCTTTAACATTTTCGCCTTTAAATAAGTGACCGTTCTTAACGGAAAAGTTCCTTCCTCAGGAAACTGGTTCTCCACACATCCTTTTGCCCAATCACGCCATAAACAACTATTTTAAAAGGTCATATTTGTGTAACATAAAAGCTCAGATGCTACTTGGGAAAAACTTGGGAGGGTACCTGAGTTCCTTTCTGTGGCATGCAAACTCAACAAACACACCTGATAAGACTTTTATCTTGGACAGGGCTACAAATAGATTTATTTGGCAGGGTAAGAAGCCTCGAATTAGGTTGAAAGTGATGCAGAAACCGAAAGAACAAGGCGGGTTAGGGGTCCCAAATTGGAAGTGTGGAAATTGGGATCGTAGAAACACCCAGGAGCATAGAAGAGTCCAAAGGCAGATGCATGAATAAATGTGATAAATGTATTTATTCATATAACAAAACATATTAACTATATACAAAGGCTGTCTTAATATCCATTAGGATAGGGGGCACACAGCGTGTGTGACTACCCCTATCAAAGATCATGGAGAACAAACGTAAAAGAGAGCATGGTGGAAAGGTTAGAGGGGGTTTTATACTCAGTGTAAGCCCCTCCTCTCCACATAGGGGTGGGGGCACTTTCTGCCTCCACTAGTGTCTGTATGATACATGTGCCAATGGCTTGCAAATACTTGACAGGAAGTATTACTATAATTTGGCGGTTTTGGTTTGGATCTGTGAATGGATTACACTATAATTTGGCGGTTTTGATTTGGATCTGTGAATGGATTACACTACAAAGGAGACGTTTGCTAGCAATCGAAGGTCACGATCTCCAACAGGGGTGGCATGCCCACCTATGGTGGGAGAGAGGCAAACCCCCAGCATACTTTACAAAGCACCACGTGCGAGGAGTCCTGATTGAGAGTTGGATGGAAATTAGGAAAACATATTATAATAAGGTACCACTCTGGGTTTCACCTGTGGAAGCTGTGACTTATCCAATTCTGTATAATCCAGAGAAAAAATTGACCTACAAAGAAATATTAGAGACGACTGGGAAGTTAAAAACAAAATTGTTACTTCAGGAACAAGGAGTGAACCTAGACTGGTGGACATATATGCAAATTAGTAGTAAATACATGAGAGACAGACAGAGAATGGGGATTAGTTGAGAGGTGCAGACTCCAGATAGGATATTAATGGGGGTGGATGAAAAGTACTATCTAGATGCTATAAATTCTTTATGGCTATGGAGGTAGGAGAGGAAGGTGTGAAGACTTCGATTCATGCCCGGGAGAAGAATCTAGGTTATTCAATAGAGCCTGAGAGGTGGAACGAAATCTGGACTAAGAATTTGAAACTAACCCGGTCAATAGGATATAAAGAAAATATACATAAAATGGCATATAGATGGCATTTGCTGCCGGCCAGACTTGCTAAAATGTTTCCTGGAAAATCCTCAGTCTGTTGGAAATGTGGCGTTAAAGAAGGTACATATTTTCACCAATGGTGGACCTGTCGAGAGGCAATGAAATTTTGGAAGAATATTCAGAAGTGGCTTAATGAGATGTTGGGGCAGCGTATACAACTGTGTCCTGAGGTATTTTTATTAGGGATAAGAGCCTTAAATGTTAATAAAACTTCATGGTACCTGCTGCTACATATAACAACAGCTGCAAGGTTGGCATTAGCCCAATACTGGAAGATGGATGTTAGCACACCCGAACAAGTAGTAATTCAGAAAATAATAAACTGTGCGGAATCAGATCGACTTACTATGTTACTGAAAGGACGAGGGGACCCAGACTATTATATATCTTGAAGTCAATGGCATAATTGTCAAATCGAGCTGTAAATAGAGGTATTGGATAAACATGTTGCTTGGTATATGTAATAGACTTATGCAGGTTACCCTATATATGTAACGGGACAAGTTTAGTTCCTTCTCGCGTAGTGATGTAGGCTGCTATAGATTTAAGGTTTGTTGGATGTATAAGATAAAATAAAATAAAATTTACAAAAAAAAAAAAAGACTTTTATTTCCAAAGAAGCAAATTCCAAATGGGACACACACACACACACCCCAACCACACACACACCGTTCCATAGTGGGGGCCCTTTTATATAGTTCTGTGAAGCACACATGGCCATGGCCAGTCATGAAAACACACATACACCAATCACTAAGAACAATAACCTGAACATCTTCAAGAGCCATAGCAACAGCTGAAGTTGAGTTAGAGCTTACAAGGTATGGGAGACTTTGACTGACCAATAACATTCTGACACTGAAAGCATCCTTAAACCACTTGGGTACCAGCATCTGTCTACCGCCTGAATGGGCAGGCATCCTTCAGCAGGAAGACCGATGGTCATCTATCATTACAGGTCAACCAGTCGTTCAAAACCAGTGGATAATCTCATCAGCAGATCCAAGGCATCATGCGATTGCTACTTCTTGGACTAAATGCTGTAACAAGCAATAAATACATCAATATACAAATAAAAATAGTCTCGTAGTACATACATTAAAATATATGAAATTGGGCTGTTCCCAGATCAATAGAATAGAATAGAATTTTTTATTGGCCAAGTGTGATTGGACACACAAGGAATTTGTCTTGGTGCCTATGCTCTCAGTGTACATAAAAGAAAAGATACGTTCATCAAGAATCATAAGGTACAACACTCAATGATAGTCATAGGGAACAAATAAGCAATCAAATCCTATTAGAAAACAGTCAATATAATTCTTAAGGATACCAGCAACAAGATAACAGTCATATCAGAAGGTAATCACACTAGTAGCAATAGCAATAGCACTCAGACTTATATGCCGCTTCACAGTGCTTTTATAGCTCTCTCTAAGTGCTTTACAGAGTCAGCATCTTTGCCCCCAACAGTCTGGGTCCTCATTTTACCCACCTCGGAAGGATGGAAGGCTGAGTCAACCTTGTAAATGCAGAGGATAAAAGCCCCAGTGATCTCTGTGTGCTAAATTTCAATTCAATTCAGAATAGAGCTGGAAGGGACCTCGGAGGTCTTCTAGTCCAATCCCCTGCTCAAGCAGAGACCCTGTATCTTGCCACTGTTCTAAATAAAGGTAGTCCTCAACTTACAACAGTTCATTTAGTGACCATCCAAAGTTACCACGGCGATGAAAAAAAGTGACTTATGACCGCTTTTCACAGTAACGACCTTTGCCCATGATCTTCTGATCAAATATCAGATGCTTGGCGACTGGTTCACACTTACGACCGTTGCTGATCCCCTTTTAGACCTAACCAGCAAAATCAATGGGGAAGCCAGATTCACTTATAAGCCGGGTTACTAAGTTATCAACTGCAGTGATTCCCTTAACAACTGTGGCAAGACAGGTCGTAAAATGGGGCAAAACTCACTTAATAAATGTCTCACTTAACAACAGAGATTTTGGGCTGAATTGTGGTCCTAAGTCGAGGACTACCTTCCCCACAAGAGGGTTTACATTTAGTGGAGAAAAGAAAAGTAACAAAAGGAGATTGCACCGTCCCACCCTGGCCATTGTCAAAGGGTTCATTTGGGTCTGATGAGGTTAGGCAAAGAGATGACCTGGGTTTGATCTGAGTCATGTCCAAACAACATAATATTCTCCAGGTCCCACTCGCACCTATGGCAAAATTCCACTGAATCCCAGGTTGGCTGAGAGTTGCAAAGTGCGCAAGCAAAGGAATAAGGTCCCCAAGCACTCACACATACATAGACACACACACACAGAGTGCAAAATCCAGGCTCGGTTCAGAATCCACACCCAAATCCAAGCCCAGCCAAGCTGCAAGTCCAAAGTCTGAGAAGCAGGTCCGAAGTCCAAACGGAGGTCACATGAAGCACAGATTCGAAGTCACACAAATAGCAGTCACGGAGTTACCGTACCTGCATGGCAGGGAAAATGTGTGCTTGTTTCTAACACTGCATTGTCGAAATGTCGGACTAAGGAGGCGTGTGCTGGTATTACTCCTTAGGAGGAAAGAGGCTCCTTGCAATGGATTAGCCTCACCGACCTCCACTGCGCCTCCCTCCCTCCCTGCGACTCCCTCAGTCCTATGGTGGAGGCGGCTTCGCGCAAGCTCATTGCATTTCAGAACCCCTGAGGTACCGCAATCAGCTCTGCCGCACCTATCAGCTGGGCTAAAAACGAACGAATATAGGTAGGTATAGTGCAGGGGAGGGCCCAGCTGATGGTTGGAGTGAACCGGTTTGCTCTCAGCTCACCATCAGTGCTACCGGCTGCCTGAACTGGGGCGAACCATTAGAAACCCACGACTGCTGCCCCTCCATACAAACAGGAAGGAATCATCCCTTCTCCCCCCAGTGTTTCCGTCCTCTTGTCTCTCTTATACCTCCAGCTCAACATCACCAAGAAGCCTTTATACCAGACAGCCTCCCCCCTGTTTTTCCAACCTACCATCCAGTGGTGAAATCTAAAATTTGTTACTATCGGTTCTGCGGGCGTGGCTTGGTGGGGGGGGTAATGTGACTGGGTGGGTGTGGTCAATTTTTTTTAACTTTTAAAACCATTTTTTCTACAACCTCTTCAGTGAAGAGGTTGTAAAAAATGCTTTCAAAAGGCTCTGACGATCCCAGCTGAGTTGCCTGATCGTCAGAGGCTTTTTTTCTTTTAAATGCCTCTGCCGATCAGGCAACTCAGCTTGGATTGTCAGGCATCGTCTTGGATTGTCAGCTTGGATCGTCAAACTCAGCTTGATGATCAGGCAACTCAGCTTGGATCGTCAGAGGCATAAATGCCTCTGACGATCCAAGCTGAGTTGCCTGATCATCAGAGGCTTTTTTTTCTTTTAAATGCCTCTGACGATCCAAGCTGAGTTGCCTGATTGGCAGAGGCTTTTTTTCTTTTAAATGCCTCTGACGATCCAAGCTGAGTTGCCTGATCATCAGAGGCTTTTTTTCTTTTAAAGCCTCTGACGATCCAAGCTGAGTTGCCTGATTGGCAGAGGCTTTTTTAAAAAGCCTCTGCCGATCAGGCAACTCAGCTTGGCTCGTCAGAGGTATTTAAAAGAAAAAAAGCCTCTGATGATCACGCAGCTCAGCTGGGCATGGGGGGGAGGGGCAGGAATTTTTGCTACCGGTTCTCCGAACCATCCGCCTCCATCGCTACCAGGTTGGGCGATCCGGTCTGAACCGGGAGCATTTCACCCCTGCTACCATCGCTTTCTCCCCTTCTCCTCCAGTCCTTCGTGGACAGAAATCCCCCATTTTCCCAAGGTGCCCCACTTCCTGCTCCCAGCCCTTTCCTGTCTCAGTCTCCTTCCTTGGAGCTGGAGGGCCAGAGAAGCTGAGCTTTGACTGATTTCCCCTTGTACAGTAGTTGATCAGAGGGTCCCAAGCAGGAGGGGCTGAGCCCCAGAGGAGCCTCTGAAAGCCCACCATCCTTCCATGGCTGCTTGGGAAGACTTTCAGGATGAACTCCCCACCCCACCAATCCTGAAGGTATTGGCTCTCAGGTATTCTCCAAGCCCCAAGTTTTGTCTCTTAAATAGACTTCAGCAACAGTGAGGCTCACCTCGGATGTCATTATGGGTGGGAGCATTGCCGCTGATTGAATCTCGTCTTCAGTGCCATAAGGAGGGGAAGAACAAAGTTTTTCTAGAGGAAGGTGATTAAGGTGAATTGTCATTGCCTGACAGAGTTTTTTCCTGTAGTTCAGCCTGTACCCTAAAAGATGTCAAAGAGAGAAAATAGCTAGTTTATTTCTGGGGCAGCAGCTGCAGCCTGAAATGGATTTAAGCTGAAGACCCTAAAGGGCCCAGTTGGTAAAACTCAGCATCTTTCATTTCGTTTTCATTTTCCTTTTATTAGATTTCTATACCGCCCTACTCCCGAAGGACTCAGGGCGGTGCACAGCCAAACAATAAAAACACATACAATACAAAATTTAAAAATAGAATAAAATCAAATTAAATAATTTTGGCCCCGACAAATTTAAAACCCCAAACTTTTAAAACCAATTTAAAATTTAATATATAAAATACTAAAAGATATTTAAAATTTTAAAAATCTTTTATAAAAGAGGGGGAAAATTAGGCCAGGCCGGCCTGGTGAAATAGTAAGGTCTTTAAGGCGCGGCGGAAGGTGCGCAGATCCGGGATCCTCCGTATCTCTGGGGGGAGCTCGTTCCAGATAGTTGGTGCCCCCACAGAGAAGGCTCTCCCACTGGGGGCCGCCAGTCGGCATTGTTTGGCTGACGGCACCCGGAAGAGCCCCTCTCTATGGGAGCGTACCGGCCGGTGGGAGGCTATTGGTGGTAGTAGGCAGTCCCGCAAGTACCCGGGTCCTAAGCCATGGAGCGCTTTAAAGGTGGTAACCAGAACCAAAATCTTGATTTGCTTATTATGGATGAAAGGCAAAATTATTGGCTGCCTACCAATAGAGGTGCTGACCATGGGGAAGTGGAAGGGACAATCCTGGGGGTGTTAAGAAATAATCGAGTTGAAACTGTCCGTGTTCCTATTAGATCTCCTATAGGACAACACAGTCCTGTTTCTCCACCATCATTGAAGCCATTCAAAGGTGGCCAGCAGGACTGTTCCCAATAGGGGTTTTCTACTAAATCATTTATTCAATGATGCTTCATCTCTGGGAATTCTGTTATTGGGACAAGACAGATGATGCTCCCCCATGTATGTTTTGATTTCTACTCCAAAACCCCAATCCCGACCTTTCCTGATAGGACCTTGGCCACCATCAATTACTTTTAAGCAAGGATGTTAAACTTCTGGGAATTGGTACAAGACAGATGGTATTCCCCATATATTCCAGACATGGTAGTTCTCGCAACATTTGGTTTGATTTCTACTCCAAAACCCCAGCCCCAACCCAGCAAGATCCAAGTACCAGCAACCTTGTCTGATCTTGAAAAGCTAAGCAAGGCCTAAGTGGCTTAGCACTTTCATCTGAGACTGGCCCAGCAAGCAAGACCAATTGCAAGCAAGTCAGAAGGCCCATCCTAGGGGAGAGAAACGGCAAAGCACTTCCGCCTTGTTGCTGACAAAATGACCTGGATGTTATTGGGCCACACTTGGCGAAGCTCAATTGAGGGAACACTTCCTGCATCTCACGTCTCTTGCTCTGAGCCAAACAAGCAGAAGCTCCTTCCACCGCTGGACCTTCCCCTCTGCAGTTGTCTGTTCCCAAGTGTGATTGCAAGCAAGGGCAGAAAACATGGGTCCCCTCACTCCATGACCACCACCTTCCACCAGAGCTTTCCTGAAAATCCTTCTTGCCAGGTGAGAAGACACTGGGCAAGTTTATGGCTTTTCTGGCATTTTAGAGATTATTTATCGGACTTTTCTTGGATTCCTGACCCCCTGATATTTTGTATTTGCTCCTCTGAAGAAAGTCTATAGAGCTCAAAGAGGCTCCCTCCCAAACAACAGCAAGGATGAACATTCTGAGATTTACAGGAAATGGAAAAAAATGGCTGCATAGTTTCTTCTTCCTTTTTAATTCTCCTTCAAAATGAGAATTGTGGGGAAAGGTTTTGTGGAGATCCTGGCTGCAAATGCCAGGGAGGCTCTCTCCCATCACACCAGATCCATCAACACAAAAAGACACAGAGCTTGGGGTCAATAGATGCGTTTCACTTACCGATCAGGAAGAGAATCAGAGCTCCTGGGATTATGATAATCACAGCTCCCAATAAACCAAGTAACTTTATATCTAAAGAAAGAGAAACATGGTTCTGATTAGACAGATGCTGAATTCCCCGACATGGAGATGCTGAGCAATGGAAGCATTTCCCAACCTGAATTGGCCTCCAGGCAGTGTCCCCACCTGAAGGAAGCCTCCCTCCCACTGAGGCTGAAGAGGGCAGAGCAAATGGCCTTGAAGGGGCAAAGAAAGAGCCATAACCAAGGCAGCAGTCAGATAAGGAGGAGATTTCAGCCTGGGCCAAGAAATCAGCTTAAGTACATGTGTCAAACAGGCCCTCCTCTAGTTCATCTGAAGATAAATGGAGGGAGGAAGAAGCATTTTCAAATTTCAAGATTGTACACGACATTGGTTTCTTATTCTGGTCTTCCTTGTTGGGCTGACAAAGGGCCAACCTCCCCTGGTAAAAATGGCATTGAACTATCCAACAATGGTGAACGATCTACTTGTACATTTATTTGTACTGATGTATTTTATTTAATAGATTTATATGCCGCCCATCTCACCAGGAAATAACATATTGCAAATGCTGAGCCTCTCACCTGTTTCCTCCTTCAAGGCCAAGACCAGGGGCTCCTGCAAGCCCTCGTGATCCAGGTGGCACCGAAAATGGTCCCTCTCCTTGGGGTCGATCTCAATGCTGAGCTGGACATAATAGGTCCCGTCCGAGTTGGGGACCACATTCTTATGGAGGGTCTCATACTTGCAGGCCTCTCCGTCCCTCGTCCAAGTGGTCAGGATTTCCTTGGGGTAGAAGCCAAAGGCCTGGCAGATGAGGACCTCCAGGCTGTCATCCACCAACTTGCGAGTCACTTTCCCCACTGGAGACTCTGCAAAAGGAACAACACCTGAGTTCCCAGGATTTCTTGTGTTTCTGTCATGGCAATTTAATAAGTGGGAAAACCTCCTTTGGCCATCCTCTCCCTCTGCTCCCTCACCTCTCCCTCCCTCTGGGACATGGAACTCTTTAGATTCATTTTTGAAAGGGACTCATAGACTTTGGGGTAAAGTTCTCACTCTGACCAAAGTAATTGTAATTCTTGGGCTTTGAGTTCAGTTTTGACACCCTAAATTGAATTTGTTCAAGTTGTCCCAGGCGGAAATTGAAAAGAGAATCAATCAGCTTTTGGTTCTGCCCTAAATGCAGGATGTAAAAATTAGATTTCCTCATGAAAATGAGGAACTGGATCTCAGCCTTAATATCTTGCTCCTTTGGTTTCCTTTTCTTTGAATAACTTATTTTTTGAGAGGTGGAGATTTTGGAACTTATTTTCCCTATTGTGGTAAATGTCCCTAGTTTGTTTTGGTAAATTCCCAGTTCTCTTTCTGCCGGGCATGTGAAAGGTGTCTTTGTTGTGGCCCGCCGGCGGCCCATGGATCTGGCAGCAGAGTTGGACAGTGAGGAGATTGGGGAGGAACTTGGGCCAGTCCTGGGGGCTGGAGAAAGCTCGGACGAGGGCTCTGCGTCAGAGGCAGAGAGGGAATTAGCAGCAGCGAGGCAGAGAAACAGCTGGAGCCCGTTCCCATGCGCAGAGCTGCCAGAAGACAAGAACAACTCAAAAAGCAGGGTCGACTTGGGAGTAAAGCCATACCTTGGAGATGATTGGCCCCTCCCAATGGAAACAAAAGAGGAGCAAACCGGGAAGGGGATTTTGCAGGAAACAATTCATTCATTTGATAGTTTCAAAAGTGAAAAATTCTGGGTGACTTCCGGTTGGCGCCACGGCGATTCAGATGGGGAATTAGCGGGGCTCTTTGGAGCCCCGTGAAAACCCCGTCTGTCAAGCCGCTGCCGGCAGGTCTGTGGACCTACCCTATCCTGTAAGAACAGGGGGTTAGAGAGGGACCCCTCGGACAGCCGAGAGGAACGGGCAGGTTCCTCGGGGCCGGAGGATTGCCCTCTGCGCCAGCGGTGGTGATGCAGCAGCCATGGCGGCTGCCCCAAGATTGCAGCAACTGGAACAAAAGGATGTGCAGGTGGAGAAGCGGAGAGCGGAGCAGGGAGAGTGGCATTTGAAAGCCAGGTGAGTGGAATTCTGCCCAGGCGGGAACTGCCCGTAAATGCTGGATTACAACAAGTGTGCCCCAGCCTTAACAGCAGCTGAGAACTATTGGGGCAAAATGAATGGTGGAAGAAAAAGACCTGTTGTGGATAGCGTTAATTACTGACTTCTTGGAAACGATCTCACTACAGATTTGCTTTTTCTTTTTCTTTTTGTGTGGCTAAAAGAGAATGGATTATGTTTGAAAGAGAGGAAAGAGAAGAGGAAATAAATACGCTTTTAAAAGCAAAGACAAAAGACAAATGGAGATGGACAAAATGGTTGCCAGCTGAGAAGTGAAAGTGTAAATTCCAGACTGCTTATTACTTGAAAGAGAAACTTTGTTGCTTGTTACTTAAAGTGGATTATTTTGAGAAAAAAATTCAGGAGACTTGACTTTGGATATATAATCTGTTTATTGGAGGATTTATTGAAGATCAGAAAGAAGAAACTAAATAGAATAATGAAAACTGAACTAATAAGCGTGGTAACAAGAGAAAAAGGGTGCGGCAATAAAAGAAGGACATGATGATACCATATATGGAATAGCTAACTCAGAACTAACTTTATAGAACTTATAACTTTGATGACATTGAAATGGAAAAGAAACATACTTAGACAAATTGGAGAAAGAAAAAAATGGAATATATTATGTAACAAGATAACAAAATACTATAGTTTGATTTAAATGGATGTAATGGTGTCTGGGTGTTTGATGTTTGAATAATGTTAGGAGATACTTTCCTTCTTCTCTTTGTTCTGTCTCTATTTTTTTTCTTTTTTTTAATTTTTCTTCTTTGTCTTTTTTCCTCCCTCTACTTTTTCTAATTCTTTCTTAAATCTCTTTTGTTATATTTCTATTCTCTTTCCCCTCTTTATTTTTGCTTCTTTTTTCTTTTTTTATTCTAACTATTATAAATATTGTTACTATTCTCTCTCTTTCTTTACTATTATTTTTATTGAAATTGATTTTATAAATATACAAATAATTTGACAAGAAAACAAGAGTACAAATGATTGAAAAACATGATTTTTGGATGTTCTAATGCTTTTTAAAATTTTGAATCTCTAATAAGCTCTATTTACAGACCTAATAATTTAGAAGAAAATGTTTTTCAAGGTGCTGGATATTAAAAAGAACTATTTACAAACTTAATAATTAGAGAAAATTGATTTTAAAGTGACTTAAAATTTTGTTACTTATAGAAAATAAGAAATAAGCATGGAATGGGAGAAAGCCTAGGAGAGAATAGGAGCTAAGATATTCGTTTATACATTCTTATTTTAAATTAGTAAAAGATATGGAGGAGAATGGACTGAAAAATAAATAGGGGTAATACATTCTGAATTAATTTAAAGTTAAAAAACTGAATAAGAGATGTAGGAATGGAGGAAAACATAAATCTGGACAATAACTAAAATAAAATGCTATGAACCAGCTAAACAAATGAAGTTAGGAGTGGAGGGAAGCATGATTCTGGAGAACAGTGAAAGCAAAGCTGTGATCCAGTCTTACAAATAAGATAGGAGTGGAGGAAAGCATCATACTGGAGAACAGTTAAAGCAAAGCTGGGAACCAGTTAAAAATTAAAAAAAAAAGATTTAGGAGTGGAGGAAAGCACGTGCTGGAAAACAGTTAAAGTAAAGCTGTGAACCAGCTGTGAATAGCCAATAAATAGAGTTAGGAGTGGAGGAAAGCATATGCTGGGTAACAGTTAAAGCAAAACTGTGAACTAGCCAAAAAATAAAAAGTTAGGAGTGGAGGAAAATATATTTGGAGATCAACTGAAATAAAGTTGTGAACCAGTTAAAAATAGAGGTTGGAGCGGAGGAAAGCATCACTGGAAAGCAGCTGATTAAGATGTGAACCAGCCAAAAAATAAACCTAGGAGGAAGTGGAGGAGATAATACTGGAGAATAGTTAAGTCAAACTGTGAACCAGTTAAACAAATAGAGATAGAAGTGGTGGAAAATACCACTGGGAAATAGCTACTTAAATTATGAACCAGCTAAATTCAGACTTAATAGTATTAGAGAACAAGCCTGAAGTAAACAAAATAAAGTATTTTGGGAGTAACAAATTATAGATGGAAATGTTGATTGATTTTGAAACGACTTTAAGAGAGGAGGAAAATATTCTTTGTCAAGATCATGGATACTAGCTGCCATTTAAGAGAAGTAGAATATAGATTTGATGTCATGGGTCTTAGGAATGAGGAATATATGTGAAATATTGATTGTTAAAATGATAAAGATTTGGAATGGTGTCTATTTGGAAATAATTGTTTAGAATTGCGGGTGATATAGTAGAATGATAAATGTTTAGAATAAGATTTTTTTTTCTTTTCTTTCTTTTTTTTTTAAAGATGTAAATGGATAAAATTTGGAACAAAATTGGTTGAGGGAATGTGAGTAATTGTACTTATTTTATACCGGACCAAATCCTTGCTCTAAAAAGATGTATTTTATGTTGTATGTCTAAAAAAAAAACAAAAACAAAAAAAGAGTGAAAAGTTCTGTTCGTGACTCTAAGAGACTGTGCCAAGTTTTGCCTTGTACTGAGGTTGGAAACAAGTTATGTGGCAGCTTGCCAAACGAGATAAGGGGTGTTGAGAAATATTCCTTTGAAATACTGTTTGGACAAACCTTTCTGACTGTGAATGAACGTAATTCACAGTCTTGTAAATGAAAGAGGTTTTGCTGGAACCAATTCCTGCCTCCTGCTTGTTAAGGGAGCCTAAATCAGAACAGTCTTGGCTGTAGAGCACAAAACATGAGGAGGGGAAGAAGAGGGAGCCTAGAAAAAAAAATGCACAACCTGAGCCCATTTGGGCACTTACCTGTCTTCTTCGGAGCCTCCTTCTGGTAGGACAGGCATTTCTGCATCATCTTAATGCACATCTCCTCCAGGTAGACTTTATTCCTCTGGGACTTCCTTGTATCATCCTCCCACATCTCCTTGACCTTCTGGGCCTGGGGCTGAGCTGCCACCCATCTCAGGGTCTCCTTGTCGAAGCTGATGAAGTCCATCCCATTGTAGCCATAGTGCAAAAACCCTCCTTTGCTCCCGTCTTCCCCAAGCTCACAGCCCAAAATCGCCTGCCAGGTGTGAATCCCTGAAAGAGACCCAGATGGTGAGGGAATAGTCCAAAATTCCTCTCCCCTAAACACTCTACAAGCTGCCATTCAAGTGTTTTCTTTCCCCCATCCCACCAGATGAAGCTGAAGCTCAAATATTTTGGCCACCAGAGCAGAAGAGAGGACTCCCTGGGAAAGACCTGATTGTCAGCGTTCCAGAAAAACCCCAACTCCAAGTAAAGATGTAGAAGCAAGCATTTTCCAAAGTTCTCTTTTCTAGAATAGGCACATCTGGGAAAACCCGAATCTGAAAAGCCTGGATTTTCCCTCAGTAAGTCAAAACCCCCAAAACCATCCCCTTACTCCCCAGTCGATCACATGCTCCAATCAACATCCGTTCCATCTCGACCCAGTCCCCTGACCACTCCTTCTCCAGATGCTGGATCGCTCTGACCTTGACCTACAGGAAGAGTGCTATTATGTCTATGGACAACCCCTCTCCTTAATCCCCCTCCTACTTTCCCACGCTCGAGAAGGTGGCAGCATTGAAGCGTCCGGCCTAATATGGCTTCCAAAGCTGACACTGATATTGGGAAAGGAGAAGGGGACAGCAGAGGATGAGATGGTTAAGACAGGCTCATTGACACAGTGAACATAAGTTTGGGCAAACTCGGGGAGACAGTGGAGGATGGGGGGGAAGGGGCTGGTGTGCTGTGGTCCGTGGGGTTGTGAAAAGTTGGACATGACTTAGCAAATGAACAACAACCCACTAAGAGAGGGAAAATGGATCCCCTCTTTCTTTCAATGGGGGGGGGAGGGAATCTTTGCTGTGATCAGTGACTGCACTGATTTTATTTATTTATTTATTTATTTATTTATTTATTTATTTATTTTTCATATTTGTATACCGCCCTACTCCCGAAGGACTCAGGGCGGTGAACAGCCATAATAAATACAAATACATATAGAAGTTAAAAACTATTAAAAAACAGATTAAGTAATTTGGCTCAAAGACTAAAACATCCAAATTTATCTAAAAGAGGTCTAAAATCCGATTTAAAAGCCAATTTAAAAGCCAATTTAAAAAGGGAGAGTTAGGCCAGACCAGCTTGTTGGAATAGAAATGTTTTCAGGGCTCGGCAGAAAATGCGTAAGTCTTGGATGTTTCGTAACTCCGGGGGAAGCCCGTTCCAGATGGTAGGTGCCCCCACAGAAAAGGGTCTCCCCCTGGGGGCCGTCAGTCGACATTGTTTGGCCGACGGCACCCTGAGGAGTCCCTCTCTATGGGAGCGAACTGGTCGGTGAGAGGCTATTGGTGGCAGGAGGCGGTCTCGTAAGTTTTGGGCTGGGGCCAGATCACGAAGACCATGAGAGAGATCTTGGAGGGGGGGGGGAAGGATCCTTTATTTCCTTTACAGGAAAGGATCTCTCACCGTTAAGCCCTTTGCAGCCATTGGTGGTCAAATGAGATTTTCCTTTCCAAATCACGTCACCCATCCAAGCCTCCAGGCACCCACTGTCTACTCTTTGCCTGCTTTGGAGGTTCTCAAGTCATCCAGGTCAGGATTGCCCCAAAACTGCTTTTTCTGAAACTTTGGGACCTTTGGAAAAAGCACCTTTGGGATTTTGCCTGCTTCCCTCTTCTGATAATTACGGTGTCAAGAGGCACAAAGGGAGATTAGAGGGAGAATTTGGGGCTTGAAGGCAAATCTGCCTCTGCTTACCTTCAGTCTGGTGGCCGAGATTGGATAGCCAGTGCAGGTCAGTCCTGAACACCCTTTCAAGGTCCACCAGGTGGTTCTTCTCCTCTGCTCCCATCCAGGGCACCAGAAGCTCCATTGTGTTGGTGTGGTTGTCATATCGAGCGATTGGTTGATCGTCCAGGTGGATCACAGAGAGGAACTGGGGCAGCCCCCAGCTGGATTCTGACACCTTCAGGTAGGAATAGTGCAGGGAGTGCCTGGGGGAGCCTGGCAAGAGAACAGGGTGAAGGGTAGAATTGAGGAGGGGGCTCTGCAGCTCCAGCTCCTCCCTGGTGAGGGGGACCTCTGGGTTCACACAGCTGCTTGTGGAGCTGACCCCCACCTGACCCTACACACTGAAAGCCAAATCTGGCTCTAGGTTCTGCCTCAGTTTACCTTCCCAATAAGCAACTGAGTCGGAAGATCTGTCAGGTTTGCCTCCTTTCAGTACTCAAAACCCCCGACTCCATTTTCATAGAGAGAGGTACTTTTTCTGAGTATGAACTGAATGCAACCAAAGAAAAGGAAGGTCTGAGGCAACAGGGGCGAACATCACATATAGAAAGCATCCTTAAGACCCTCCCCCCCAATGGCCCAGTCGGGATTATCCAATCCACATCCGCCCAAGGGATCTTGTGGGGTGCAGCTTCCGATGGCTCCATCCTCCTGGTATGCCAGGACGGTTGACTTTGAGTGGTTATCAGCTGCAGAGAAACGCTGAGGAAAACTTTCTCCCATTTACTCCACCAGCTCACTTCCCCCCTCCCAACTATCCCCACAGCTCCCCCTCCTCCCTCCTTTTCAATGGCAGCCGTAGCAAGCAAGTACTATAAAAGCGGAGGCTGACAAGATCCCTTAAAGGAAGCTTATTAGGGGACCCTGATAAAGTGGGGTCTCTCTATGCAAAAGGGAGAGAGGACCTGAGCCCCTCCGTTGCCCCCCCTTTTTTTATATAGTGGACACAACAAAGAGGAAAGCTGATTGGACAGAATAAAAGCAACCTCCCCTTTGCATAGGAAATCAATTACACAGTAGCCAAACATGTTACATATTTGCGCTGTTAGATCAGGTGCAGGAAAAGAAGACGCGACCAGCTCAGCTCCATTCAGTACCTTTTATTGAGTAGGAATAGACTGGCACTGCACTGCCGGAGCTCTCCTTATATTCGCTCCGGCAGTCGCACCGCCCCCTGACAGCTATTTGAATTTCCCGCTGGTGGATTTGGCCAATCCCGGTGGATGTGCTTAAAAGGACATAACATGCGCATCCCACAATATCACACATGTTCCATGTTCCTTCAAATGAGGTCTGAGGTCAGAAGGGGCGTCATTGTAAGGGAAAAGGTGGTTTAGAGTTCAGGAAAGAGATAAACCAGACCCCAAGTTGTTCTAAACAAACTTTTCTTCTCTGGAGTTAGTCTCCAGCTTGTTTACCAGTTTAGGAATGGTGAAAGCTCATAAACGGGGCCATCATTTTAAAAGAGAGGAAATAAAGCAAATGAAGATACAAGGTAACCATGTTAGTTAACCAATAAGGAAACCCATGTCCTTTGCCCCTCAGTGCCCACTGCCCGGAGGACCAGCAGGACAGAAGCTGCCTGTAGCTTCACAGCAGAGTACGGAGTATGGAGACTTCCAGGGCTGGGAAGCTCCACCACACACAGAAAGACAAACTCATCCCGAGTTAGATACAGATACGGATTAACAGCGGAAGGGAGGAGACTCCTCCATGCCCAGGTTTTCACGTGTCGTGTGGATGCGACCTGAGGGTTTTGGCCAAGTGGGGCCCGCGGGCAGAGCCGCCACCTCCTCAGCCCTTCAAGGCTGAGCCTTGGTAGTACAGTGGTCTAAAGCACCCTGTTATTAAGACCAGCTGCCTGCAATTACTGCAGGTTCGAATCTCGCCAAGGCTCAAGGTTGACTCAGCCTTCCATCCTTTCGAGGTAGGAAAAATGAGGACCCAGTTTGTGGGGACAATAAGCTGACTTTGTATAAATATACAAAAGGATGAAGGCTATTGCTGAGCGCATTGTAAGCCGCCCTGAGTCTCCGGAGAAGGGCGGCATATAAATCAAATTTAAAAAAAAAAGGCGGCGTCCACATGTTCCCCATCTCATCCGGTAGAGGCGTCGAGGTTCGGGCTGTACGGGTTGCTAGTCTCAAGGCTGGGGATGTTGGGATTTGGAGTCCCTCCCCACAGCATGCTGACCCAGCGACTCCTGAGGAGGAGGAGGGGGGGACCGATCCCCGCGGCCGCCTCTCCGGCTGTTTCAGGCTTGGAAGACGATGGCTGGGAGAGCGAAGTGCCGAGGCTGCCTCGCTCCTGCCCAGCCTCCCCTTCCTTCCTCCGCGCTCAGGAAGGCCGGAGGGGAGAGGCGAGGCGGAGAGGGGCAGCGCTGCTTCCCAATGCGGAGGGGAAGGGAAAGTGAAAGTGAAAGTGAAAGTGAAGCCTCACAGGGGCTGAAGGGGGGAGAGAGACCCCCCCACCCCCGCCTGCCTTTCCGCCCCCTCGCCCGTCCTTCCAAAAACTCACCGCAGCGGCCCCCCGGCCAAGGAGCCCAGCAGTCCCCAGAGGAGCAAGAGGGGCGCCCGTCGCAGCAGCATCGCCCCCTGGCCAGGCGCCCCTTCGCCCCTACGACCCAAGAGACCAGCATCCCCGACAGGGACAGCGACCGTGAGCGTGGCTTCCTCCCCCCCCCCCCCCCCAAACTCCGCTCAAGTTCTCTGCCTCGCCCGCCCGGGACGAAGAGCTCCTGCTCCCTTGGCCCTTCAGGGAGGAGGGGGGACCCTTTGCCCCCGCCTCCAAGGTCCGCCAATAGCAGCGCCGCTCCCCCTCCCCCCGCCCCATTTCCCCTGAAGTTTCCACCCACACTAAGTCCGCGGATCCGCCACGGAGGAAAGGAAACGGCGCTGCTCTCTGCACATCCTCCGGCACTCTGGAAGCTCCGAGAGGCTGACCTCGCCCTCAACACGCAGAGACCCCCCCCCCTTAAAGTTTTCACCAGCCAGGTTCAGCATTCAAAGGACCGGATTGTGCCTGGTACGTGAACGCAGAATGACAGAGCTGGAAGGGACCCTGGAGGTCCTCTAGTCTCACCCCCTGCTCAAGCAGGAGACCCTATTCCGTTCCAGACAAGTGTCTGTCCAGCCTCTTCTTAAAAGCCTCCAGTGATGGAGCACCCGAAACTTCTTTTCATACATAGGAAACGTTTTCCTTTCCTATAACCAGTTTAATGGAAAGAAGGACCAGGGGAGACATGATAGCAGAGTTCCGATAGCTCAGGGGTTGCCACAAAGAAGAGGCAGTCAAGCTCTTCTCCAAAGAAGGCAGGACAAGAAGCAATGGAGGGAAACTAAACAAGGAGAGAAGCACCCCAGAACTAAAGAGAAATTGCCTGAGAGTGAGGACAATTAATCAGAGGAACGACTTGCCTCCAGAGGTTGTGAATGCTCCAACAAGTGGCCAGGACAGAAGGTCTCCCACTTGCTTGTTAACCCCTAGGCAAATAGGGTCTCCTTGGCTCTGTGGATGTCAGAGCTTGGATCCTCAGAGGCATTTAAAAGAGAAAAAAACTTTTTTTCTTTTAAATGGCTCTGACGATCCAAGCTGAGTTGCCTGATTGTCAGAAGCTTCTAAGAGAATTTTTTTCTGCAACCTTTTCAAGCTTGGATCGTCAAGAGGAGGCGTGTTGGGGGAGGCAAAGACAGGAGGGGGGGGAGAAGAGAGGAGGAGGGGGAAGAAGAGAAGGAGAGAGGAGGAGAAGGGGAGGAAAAAGGAGGAGGAGGGGAGGAAGAGAGAGGAGGGGGGAGAGGAGAAGAGAGGAGGAGGAAGAGGGGGGAAAGAGAGAGGAGAAAGAGAGAGAAGGAGAGGGGGAGGAAAAAGGAGGAGGAGGGGAGAAAGAGAGGAGAGGAAGAGAAGGGGAGGAAGAGAGAGGAGGGGGGGAGAAGAGGAAGAGGGAGAAAAGACTGAGGCAGGTCATCTGTTTCCCACCCCCAGGGCAAGGAGGCTAATTGGGGAAGGGGCTTAGACTCTTCCCTGCATTGAAATCTGTCCCCACCCAGCCCAGAAGTCCTCCTGGTTGAAATCCTGTGGCCAGGGATCCCTTTGCCCAGATTTGGCTGCTACCCTATGTGCCCTCCCTTTTTTGAGGGAGAGCCCCAGTTCCATGCTCCACACTCTTGTGATTCCCCCAGGTTAGATTACTGCCGTGTGCTCTCCCTTGGGCTTCCCTGTGTAGAAAGTTAGCTCCCACCACTCTCCTAGAAATATTTTCAAAAATATTAAGAAGGCAGAACATTATATTTCTCCTAAAAGAGAAATGGAAATCTTAAGGGGGACAGAAACTCAGGCCCAGCTCCCTGCCCCCAGCAGATATTTGACTATCCTATCTACAAGACAAAAGATCTTCATCTTCAGGGTGATGGGATTAAGACATGACCCTCCAGGACCATAATAGGATTATCTATCAGCAGAGCTCGCCACATGACACAACCACCTGGAGACATTGCATCACCCTCCAAGTTTCAACCAAACCTGGGAGCTCAGACAAAGTTAGCTATGACCCCTGCATAACCCCATGGGAGTCTGACAGCAACCAATAGAATACATGCCCTTGCCCCAGGAACAGGAAGCTCAAGGGCAAGACCCAAGAGAGGGTATAAATAACCCTCACTCTTCACTCCATGTGGTCAGCTGCCCAGGACCATGTCCTTGATTGTTCTGCTCCATTAAACCATCTCTCCTATCAGCCTCCATGTTTCCAATGTCTTCCTCCCCACTTGGAACTGAACCAGATGGATATTTCTTCCAACACCTGGAAAACTCTGCAGAAACTGCAACCGTACAAAAAAAGCATCCCACATAGAAGCTTGTCAGAGTATATATATTAACTGGGATAGGATATGGTAACAAAGTCAGCCATTGAGGGCTATTTGGGAGCTGAGACAGACTGGAGCCAAGGCGTGTCTTAGTCTGCAGCTTCTGAGTCTGTGCAGAGAAAAATGAGTCTAGTCTCTCTGCTGTAGTCTGTGTGTGTGGGAACATGTCTGCTGATCTGAGCTGAAGAATCAACTGTTGGTATTGTAATTATACTTTATGTGTTATTATGAATATAAAGAAGTTAATAAATCCAGCTGATTCAGTTATCTGTGTGTGCTTCTGGATTTGATTTTTGCAAGAAACTCTGATAAAGCTGGCATGAGACGGTGCAGCAACGTTGCTTCCTGCATTGGGGAGGGGGTTGCATAGCCTCCAATGGGGTCCTGAGTGCAATTCCAGGTGCTGCTTGGAACTTAGAAAAACACCCTGGTCAAGAAGGTCTTGGTAGTACAGTGGTCTAAGGCACCCTGTTATTAAGCTGGTTATTAAGACCAGCTGTCTGCAATTACTGCAGGTTCGAATCTCGCCAAGGCTCAAGGTTGACTCAGCCTTCCATCCTTTCTAAGGTAGGTAAATTGAGGACCCAGTTGTGGGGGCAATAAGCTGACTTTGTATAAATATACAAAAGGATGAAGGCTATTGCTGAGCACATTGTAAGCTGCCCTGAGTCTCCGGAGAGGGGCGGCATTAAATCAAATTAAAAAAAAAAAAAAAGGTCCACAGGGCCATCCCTCCAATTGACTCTGCCTGGGGTTTTCTGTCCTGCCTGTGAGTACAGGAGAGCAGAGGCCCAGAAATGGTGGTATCCAACAGCCCTCTGGCAAAATTCCCCC